AATGAACATATTTACTGCACATAGACTACAATGGGGTTCAGGCGCAAGATTTGGGGCTCACAGAATGTTTTAAAAACAGCATAGTGAACTTTAATCACTAAACATGACCCTACGTATCGTCAGGGTAACAAAGAGAGGAAGTTGTGTAAGGACAGGAAGTGATGTCACGTACAGGCAGGAAGTTCTAGCTGTGAGGTGATTGTGGAGGAAGTAGAGAGGAAGCATTGCTGGAACTGGAAGGTAACACACCGAGAGGAAGTGATGTGACATACATGAAGGAAGTGATGTCACGTACAGACAGGAAGTTCTGGCTGTGAGGTGATTGTGGCGGAAGTAGAGAGAAGGCATTGCTGGAACTGGGGGAGTAACACACCGAGAAGAAGTGTTGTCACATAGATGAAGGCCGTGATGTACAGACAGGAAGTGATGTCACATACAGACAGGAAGTTCTATCTGTGAGGTGATTCGGGAGGAAGTAGAGAGGAGACATTGCTGGAACTGGCAGCAGAGGAGGCAATACGATATCTGGTTTTATTTAATTTGTATTGATATACGAGGCCTGTAATATAATATAGAAACCGTCTGAGGTGGAGGAACTCCGCTCCGACATTATTCACCCCACTACAGTCCTCATAATTCTCAGATTATTGTCTGTCTACAGGGAGGAGTGGCCAGAATAGATCACATGTCCACATCAGTGAGGATGGACAAGTACCAAAGTCACATGACCAAGAGGATATTAGAGCTCACCCTGGAGATCATCTACCTGGTGACAGGAGAGGTGAGGAGGATTCTGGGAGGTCACATGACATCACTCTGATCTCTATTCATAAAACACAGACCTGACCGGAGGGGTGAGGAGGATTCTGGGAGGTCACATGACATCACTCTCATCTCTATTCATAACACACAGACCTGACCGGGGAGGTGAGGAGGATTCTGGGAGGTCACATGACAACACTCTGATCTCTATTCATAACACACAGACCTGACCGGAGAGGTGAGGAGGATTCTGGGATTCTAACACGATGTTCTTATTGGTTTCTCCATCCAGAGTTTTCCTCTTCTGAAGTCTGGTGATCATGTGACCATCACCGTGCCTCCATGTGACTCCCTAAAACCCGAGAGACCCAACATGCAGAAGGTTCTGGAAGCCACCAAGAAGATGATTGATCTGCTGATAGGAGAGGTGAGCGGTGCCGGGAATTCTGGGACATGATCCAGGAACAGGCAAGGGGCGTGTCTGGGTGGTGACGGGAGAGGTGGGCGGTGCCGGGGATTCTGGGACATGATCCAGGAACAGACAAGGGATGTGTCTGGGTGGTGACGGGAGAGGTGAGCGGTGCCGGGAATTCTGGGACATGATCCAGGAACAGACAAGGGGCGTGTCTGGGTGGTGACGGTATCATTGTGTGTGTCAGGTTCCTATAAGGTGTCAGGATGTCTCTGTCTATCTCTCCATGGAGGAGTGGGAGTATCTAGAAGGACACCGGGATCTCTACAAGGACGTGGTGATGGAGAATGCCCCGCCCCTCACATCACCGGGTAAGAGGAGAGAGCAGTACGGAGGCTCCGCCTACATCCCCCATCATCTGATACACACATAGAAACAATGTATTCAGTCAGTGTGTGTGTTTCCTACAGATGGATCCAGTAAGAGGAACCCACCTGAGAGATGTCCCCGCCCCCTGTATTCCCGGGACCCCACCCAGGAAGATCTCACCCTCCCCCACCATGAGAGATGTCCCCGCCCCCTGTATTCCCGGGATCCCACTCAGGAAGATCTCACCGTCCCCCACCATGAGAGATGTCCCCGTCCTCTGTATTCCCGGGATCCCACTCAGGAAGATCTCACCCTCCCCCACCATGATCAGGTAGGTGGGACTGAGCATGCAGACCTAAAAATAAATGTTTAGCTATGAGATGACATTCCTCCATCTATTCTCCTGTTCCATGTCTGTAAATGTGTTCTATCATCTTTGGAATTCAGGGTAAAGATTTAAAAGTTGAGGTTGAAGAAGAAGAGACGTTCGTAAAAGAGGATCACCAGTCTATGGAGGAGGGGGAGATGATTCTGACACGTGAGAAGGAAGAAGCTTCTCCACATCTGGACACAAGTAAGTCAAAAACAGAAGATAGTTTCCACTTGTGTTTTTACATTGTTACATAAGTGGAAAAATTACATGAAGGTCCATCTCCATTCCTCAATATAACGTCATGTGACCTACAAATGAGGAGGAGATACTGGATACCATATGAAGGTCCATCTCCATCCCCCCAATATAATGTCATGTGACCAACAAATGAGGAGGAGATACTGTACACCATATGAAGGTCCATCTCCATTCCTCAATATAACGTCATGTGACCAACTAATGAGGAGGAGATACTGGACACCATATGAAGGTCCATCTCCATTCCCCAATATAACGTCATGTGACCAACTAATGAGGAGGAGATACTGGATACCATATGAAGGTCCATCTCCATCCCCCCAATATAATGTCATGTGACCAACAAATGAGGAGGAGATACTGTACACCATATGAAGGTCCATCTCCATTCCTCAATATAACGTCATGTGACCAACAAATGAGGAGGAGATACTGTACACCATATGAAGGTCCATCTCTGTTCCCCAATATAACGTCATGTGACCAACAAATGAGGAGGAGATACTGTACACCATATGAAGGTCCATCTCCATTCCCCAATATAACGTCATGTGACCTACAAATGAGGAGGAGATACTGTACACCATATGAAGGTCCATCTCCATTCCTCAATATAACGTCATGTCCCCAACAAATGAGGAGGAGATACTGGACACCATATGAAGGTCCATCTCCATCCCCCCAATATAATGTCATGTGACCAACAAATGAGGAGGAGATACTGGACACCATATGAAGGTCCATCTCTGGTCTTCAGTTGGTCTCCTAGAATTGAGGTGGAGGAAGGTCCATCTCCACTCTCACAGTAACAATGACATCAATGTACACACATTCTCTCCCGGTGTAATTTGGGTGAATTGTCTCATTGATCTGATTTGGATTCATAGTTCGGTGTTGCTCCCAATCCCATGGCAGAGCTCGGTGAACGTGTTGAGTGTTGGACCCACATGTAAGACATGAAACGGATCTGTAATGTTATATTTGGATGTTTCTCTCCTACAGATGGACACTATGCTCAGATTATGAATCCCTCTGAGGGCTATTTTATTTTATCTCCGGATTATAATGACCTCACACAACATTCTCCGGGAGTGAATCCCATTACCCATAATAGACATCACAGACCTTCCCATTCAGAGACATCAATGGATCCCTCTAATCCTGAGGAACCTTCTGACCAATCAAAGACTGTTACTACAGATATACATCTGAGTTCTCAGAGTGCGGAGAGATCAACAGGTCCAACTAATGCACAGGAATCTTCTTTAAGGCATGAAGGCGTTCAAACAGGTGAGCGTCCTTTGTCACATTCAGAGTGCGGAAAAGGTTTCACTCAGAAAGGAGACCTAAACCTATATAATCAAACCGGTGAGCGCCCTTTTTCCTGTTCCGTATGCGAGAAGAGTTTCGTTATGAAACGAGCACTTGTTAGACACCAGAAGATCCACACAGGTGAGCGCCCTCATTTATGTTCAGTGTGCGGAAAAAGTTATATTGAAAAAGCAAACCTTCTCATGCATCAGAAGCGCCACACCGGGGAGCGTCCTTATTCATGTTCAGAGTGCGGAAAAAGTTTTGTTTACAAAGCGGACCTTGTTAAACACCAGAAAATTCACACTGGTGAGCGCCCTTTCTCGTGTTCAGAGTGCGGAAAAAGTTTCATCGACAAAACAAAGCTTCTGGTACACCAAAGAATTCACACCGGTGAGCGTCCGTTTTCATGTTTAGAGTGCGGGAAACGTTTCACTCAGAATGGAGACCTTCTTAAACACCAGAGTGTTCACAGTCGGGAGAAAGGTTTTTCATGTTTAGAGTGTGGTCATTGTTTCAAACATAAACGAAGTCTAATTAGACATCGTAGTTCTCACACCTGCTGATGCTGTTGATAAATTTACAATATGAAGAAACTGGAGGAATGTGTTTTTAAAATAAACAAAAATGATCTATGAAATATTCTGTCCTGAGTCTCTTTATTTGTACAAATGACCAGAATTCTTAGATGATCGGAATGAGCTCGGTTCATAGAGAGTCCTCCATTGGTGATGGGAATGAGCTCAGATCATAGAGAGTCCTCCATTGGTGATGGGAATGAGCTCAGATCATAGAGAGTCCTCCATTGGTGATGGGAATGAGCTCGGGTCATAGAGAGTCCTCCATTGGTGATGGGAATGAGCTCGGTTCATAGAGAGTCCTCCATTGGTGATGGGAATGAGCTCAGATCATAGAGAGTCATCCATTGGTGATGGGAATGAGCTCAGTTCATAGAGAGTCATCCATTGGTGATGGGAATGAGCTCAGATCATAGAGAGTCCTCCATTGGTGATGGGAATGAGCTCAGATCATAGAGAGTCCTCCATTGGTGATGGGAATGAGCTTGGTTCATAGAGAGTCATCCATTGGTGATGGGAATGAGCTCAGATCATAGAGAGTCATCCATTGCTGATGGGATGAGCTCGGGTCATAGAGAGTTCTGAGTGTCAGTCTACTTTCCTGGTCGCCTGTTATAAATCTGTCCCTGGTAGTGTGTGTGTCCATCTCTGTGGTGCCACCAATCCTGGGGAGGTGGAAAATGATCTAGTACGTCGAGCTTTTAGAACTTCTGGGAAGTCGGTGTCTCTTATGGAGGAGATTTTTTCTCTGATAGAACTCTTAGAGGTCCGTAGCCACTTCCTATGTCCACTAGAGTACCAGCAAGTGAGTGGACCTTCTAAAGTCTTTGTAGACCTTTTAGGTATTGAAGTATGCTCCTCGGGACATCCAAGTGATCACATTCCTCCTCTGTGACCTTACTAGGATCACTTCAAAATGATGGAAGTATTATTTCTTGTGATCTTTGAAGGGCTAAGGCTACCGGTGGAAGGTACAGAGGATCTGGTCGAAGAGCAAACAAAGCTCTTTGATAGACCAAGCCTGCAGGTCCCCAATGGTCCTGGCCCAAGAGATGGCCAAGAAAAAGGCTGAACTAAGAGTCAAAGCTCTAAAAAGAGTCTACCGAGGGCTCAAACTGAAAAAGGGACCTGTTCGAACTTTTGAAAGATCCCACGGTGCCGTCCTCTTTGGTGTTCTCGAGGAACTTCTTTCCCGAGCAGAGAAAATACTTTTGGAGGATCCTCCGCCAACTTATATTCTAGAAAGAGCTGAAATTTCGACCTTGCGTGTGCTTAAGGAGAGGCCCAATTCTACCCCATCTTGAAGTACTTCTAGGGTAACATACTGTACATCTAGAGCAATATACACTTCATGC